TATGTAACACAAAATCTGTTCACTAACCAAAACGTCACAATAGGATACCTACTGACAGATTTTATCACATCAATCAATGTGAAATGCAACCGTGTACGCTGATACCATTATCACATTTGTATGTCCTTATCGAGAACACGTTGTAAGTGAAATATATTTTTAATATAACAGTTGGAGTATCACAATAGCTAAAAGATAATCAATAATAAAGAAACTATGAATATATCCTCAAAAAATATTGTTGACGGTTAGGCCGGGTCCGAGAGGCATCCTTGGCACTAATTAACTATATAGCCGTAGTTCGATCACCGCGAGCTGCAGCTGAGAGGCCGAACACTTGCTGCGGCCGGCTTGCCGGACCACTGAACGACCTCGATACTGCCAACGGGTTTCAACTACACTCAGTGTTTGCACGTTTTTTTTACATAATGCATGAGTACAATCACTTTGCGTTTTGAGAGCAAATGGAACTTTTTTAGAAACTGAGAGGAATGGAAGTCACATTTTAAGAAGGGTTGGAGGGGGGGTTACAGCGGCTGAACAGATAGGGTGCATCGCGTGTCGCTGGGCATGGGAGGTGGCGTGTCGCCGGCAGCCCGCGCGGACTATCAATGGAGGCGAGGCGGTGAGGCACAGCGGTGGCGGCGTCCCACTCGCTCAGAGCGCCGCGCGCGCCCGGCCTCCGCCGCCGTCGCCCGGCCGCCGCGCCGCCGAGAGCGCGCGACTCCGCCCGAGGATAAATTTGGCACTAATGGAAACTGGCAGCGGTGAGCGCCGGTAATCAATGTTCGACGTGCAAATCGAGGACCACAGAGGACATTATCAATGCTAAGCGGGATTCAAATGCACTTCAAATGCAAATTGGCACCTAATTATTCTCTACCTGCTGTTATAAGGCAATGTGGAATAATACCGTCTCAAAAGAAATACACAAAGCACTACTTTTGCTAACAAAAAAATCGTAACTTTAAAAACACACGAAACATTTAAATAAATTGAAGAACTTTAGCAATTACGCAGATGATCGGTCCCTCACTCTGATTTCTATGACCACCGTATTTTCCTGTTATGCTACCACCATATGTTCGTTGTGACATTGCTCCATGGGGATAGGCTGTTGAGAAAAGGTAGCACTGTTTGTACGCGGCGGTGAATTGGAAATGTGCAGCGGATTTCCCGCCGTGAATGGTTTTATTGTAGCGCCCGTGAACTTGAAACGTGCTCATTGATTTCTACAAAAACGCGCATTCAGTGAAAGAGAAGGCAAATTTTTTGCTCACCTACGTTTGTGAGGCTGTTATTAACCTTGTTGGATAGATTAGATCAGTGTTTTAATTAATACATGCAAGTATTCATGTTAGCTCTACATAGAGAAAAAAAATAGAAATAACCAAGTCATGCTTTATATCAATAGAAAAACACTGAAGGATGCTGATAAGGAAAAGTAATGAATAAGCCCCCGAATCACGGACACTCGCGATTATGTCGTAATTATTAATACTATACTGCCAGTCCATGAACACAAGTATAACGAAGGTATTTATCGATTGGTCCTATATACAAGGGCCAAAGCGCAAAATCACAATTTTACAGGGGAGGCTTCCTAACTTTAAATCTGGCATATTTTCAAGATTTCATTGTGTTTCGAGGTCTCCATGAATATGTTTGGTTTTGTTTTAACATTACCTTATAATGAAATGAAGCATTTCGAGTTCTTAGGTTTTCGTGATTGTTACATAGGAAATGAAACTATTTTTGGAATAAATCTTTGTTTGAAAAAAACAAATATACGCGATTTAAATCCGGAAAAATACTTCCATTTTCGAAATGAAGCAATCCCTACAAAAAAGTGAAAATGATGAAATTGTTAGTTTGGCCTTTAAACTTAGGACCCATCGCTATTAACATTACAGCATGCTTAGAGCGACGTTCTATCGCGGACGGTTTTTGATTTAAACAATTGGTAAAAAGATAGCGCAGAATCGTTTTTATTTACTCATGCTACACTCCCGGGTTACACGCCCAAAGACGTCCATTCACGTAGACACGCTAAAAAGTCCTTAAATATAGCGTAACTATGATTACTTGTAGTTATTTAATTTAAACAAATTTGCATCAAAAGTAGAATATGAGTAAAATTTAATAACGACACCTAGTTATATAATTATTCTTATCGGGAAGTTGAATTTAATAGATTGTGTCTGGTTTTTTCTGTGTTCAACTAAATCTCGGGTCCAAATCTTTATGCCGAGTGTACTTATTTGCATAATAACATAAGGCTCAGGTATCCATCCAGGAAACCTTTCATATTTTCCCCGTTATCAGAGCTGAAGTTCTCCGTTTCTAATTTATCTTTAGCCTAGGTATTCTGTTATTTGTAAAAGTGTATTGCACATTTTTATGAAAACTTTTCTTTACAATGGTTTCTATGTTACATAAAGGTTAAGAATTCTCCACGAATTACTTCAAAATAAGTGCTTTAATGATACAAAGAGTTTTTTTAACTATCTCAAAATATATGTTGTCTAGTTTAAAGGTATATGCATATATATATATGATTTGCATTTTATTGTTTAATTTTCTTTTGTTTATAATTTAATAATAAATAATATATCCACCTGTATAATTAGTACTTTTTACCTGAAATATAGGATTCTCTTAGTTCTGGTATATGTGTTATAATTTACATTGATCCACATAATTAGCCTTTAGTTATTACTTTGTACAATAAGTTATTCAATAAACAGTTTTATTTATTTGTTAGAACTTGTAAAATACACAAATTCTTTTTAGTTTATTTTGAACATTGGGAAATACCACGTTAGATTATTATTACTTAATTGAAGATTATTTACGCTTTAAGCATTAAATTTTGTTTCAGCTACGTACAGATTTTTCTGTAGATAGAGAGTAATACTCATCAATTTAATCATCATACTTTCTTGTCCTATTACTGGAGCCTCGGTGTAGTATGCTTTCTTCTTCTAATAGTATCTATATGGGTTAATACACTTAAATTAAGTCTTAGTCGTTAGCTGAGTCCAGAATAACAGCATATACAGTATGTTACAAAAATATTGAATATATTTAAGCTGGTGGTTCATGACAATGATTGGATCCAGAACTGCACCCGTATGGAAATCACGTTTTTATACATGTGATATCATTTGCCAATGCGTGAGGTGCGAACCGTATTCCTTAGAAAAGGCATGTATTTCAATGTTCAGCAGCCAAAAAAATCTAAACGGTCATCTTTTTTAACGATTGATTCTCTTTCTCTGAGACATAAAATAAATTAAATGTTTGATTTGTATAAATTAACTTTGATAGCTTTACGTTGAGTTTTAAAACCTTAGTTTTAAAATAAACGATATTTTTGTATGTTTGATATATACATATATTAATTGTTCCATCTGTGTTAGTTGATCTACGGATAAATTAACAAATTTTATCTTAACAAATGAGCATTAAAAATACAATGTACTTAAATACTTATTTTTTAAACTAAGTAAATGTTGATTATACTTGTATCCTATTATATTAAATATAACTTATCCGTAGGTCAACTAACATAGACGGAACAATTAATATATCTATATTAATATCCCTTAGAAAATACTTTTAGTATGGATGCGATGCGGCCACGTGCAGCTCAGAGGGTTAGCTCCAACCCTAAGAATGTACGGGGTTATTTGTAGCATACTAATAACTTCACAGGACTATATTACTAACATCGTAAACAAAAACTTTTTTTCATGCTTTTAAAAATTCATAATATTGTAGTTGTGTACAAAAACAAAAATATTCAGAAAGGTCGCTGTAAAAAGTGATAACAATGTGCGGTAACAAAAGAAAGTGGGTCGTCGTTGAGGTACCAAATACAGACCTAAAAATTCTTGTGTTGTGGTCTTTGCGAGGTTGTTAATATTATACAAATAATCCTGTATGTCATCGTTTGATCGGAGTTATACAAAGCGTTAATCAAATGAGATAGTATTAATAGTGAAATCTGAGCTGTCTGAAGCGATCACAAAATAATTCAATGGTTTGTAATTGAAAGATCGTCGTTTAGAGATAAAGTAATTGATGTTCATTAAGAGGTGGGTTTGGAATGAGTATGACATTACAGTATGAAATTACAGTGGTCATTTAGATCTCGATCGTCGACATGTTAGATAATTTTGGTACGGTTTTTTGTAAAAATGTTAAGTTTGTATTTTACCCACTTTATCATATCATTTTTATTGTGACGTTTCAAGATTTTCGTTAAAAATATCCGTTTTAAAAACGTTTAGTCGATCGATAAACGGACTTGATGAGAAACCACGTCAAAATGTAAAAACATGAAATGTAATGGTTTCAATTCTTAGATTTTTCTCGATTGCATCGTCGTTTTTTTGATTGCGACACAAAACATTAATTTGTTTGAAAAAAAAAAACGCGATTTGATTAAAAAAAAAATTTTCATTTCCTATAATATAATGAAAAGCTGAATTAATTAATTGTATTATGAAGTTCCTTGCAGTTTTTACTGTATGCTTTGTTTTGCATTAGTTAATTTTTTTTGGGAATTATCATATCATATCTAATGACGTCTAATTAAAGTTCTTTAATGCGCGAACTCTATTTTTTAAATAGGTAACTAATTTTGTAGCGAGTTTTATGGGCTTCGTTGTGAACGTGAAATTAATTACCGGTATTTAAATGAAGCTTACAGCGTACTATAAGGTTTACTTTTGTCTGTAAGACACTTTATTTAGTAATATTAAAATCTTAAAACAAAACTTAAATATATAACGCACATTTGTGCGAACCACATTTACTCTGTTATAATTTGATCACAGTAGGCAATTGATAGACATAAATCAAAAGCACAAAAAGGAATAACAAACTCATGAAGCTCACAATGAAAGCGATACACACAGGAAAGCGAGAATCTGCGAAAGTAAAGAAAGCCAGGCTTGATGATAATAAATGGTGCGAAGGTAAATCATACGTACGCTCTGTCCAGCTGTGCCGCCTCGGACTCCTTGAATCTGCAAGCAATTAAAAAATAAGGAGAAGAAAGAAAGGATGATGACCTCAGTGTACACGTACTTTTAATGCCACCTAAGCGGGTCAGGCCGTCGTTTACAAGTCACATTTATATGCGGGGTTTAGCTTCACACCAAAATACTGTGCTCGAGTAGTGTAGTGAAGAAGTGATGGCCATAGCATGATGTTCTACAAATCGTCTACAGGTCTCACCGCTGTGCGGTCGCCGTGCTTCAAATTGTGTTATTTCGCTCGTGCTAGCGACAGCGAAAGCGACGTACACATTTGTTGGTTTTATCGTTTACACAAAAAGTACAAGGGTAGCATGCTATCGCCAGTATTATGTGGGCTGTTTGTGAGTAAGCTGCTACAAGAATGTTAGTTTTACAACATACAGTATTAAACAGCTAACATAGTTTATACGTAGCTTACTTTGTTCCTGCATCCGAAGCAGTATCTTGCATTTAAAGTGGCTCCATTCGGTTTATCTTTATATGAAAGTTCGTGCACTCTGCGAATTGCTTGTCAGTTTTGTGAGTTGTGGGAGTTTCAATTGGATTCATTTGCATTTCTCTGATCACAGAAAGTATTTTGTTCTCAATTTACTTTGCATCGTCGTGTTCTTTTGTAATTAACAGTGTTAGTAATTAAAACGTGGATGCAATATAGTTTGGTTAGTGGTAGTTAAATATTAGCCAAAAATAAGTGCGACGAGTATTTTCAAGACCGAGACACTCGATAATGTTAATACATTAACTAATGTTAATACGCTAAATAACGAAAAGTTATTTCAGTCTGTTCAAAATCAAAGGTTTCAAAATGTTGGCTAGAATATCATATATAATACACTGAGTACAGACGTAACGTAGGATAACTATCTATTTGATCTACCCACACGTTGTCATATCATACAAGAGTCCGATTCTTGTTATATTTTGAAGCAAATTGCCGCCACTGACTCGGAGAGGTCGTATTTTTTCCCACACTTTATTAACTCCCCAAGAAATAGAAGTTAATTGAATCGATATATCGATTCGAGAACAGTGGTCTATCTCAAACATAACTCATTCACAGAATAGTTGCTTGTCAAAAATAACGATTTGGGTCTTAGCAGTATCTCGATACGGCCACTAGTATCAAAAATCTTTAATCTAAGCGTGAGCCGTTTCCAGATCGCAAGGCGATGCCAACGCCATTTTTATATAAAATGGCTTTCATTTCTCACCGGTTGGTGTCTTATTTTTCCTTACGACTATCGTGTCGAAATCGATTTGAACGACTGAAGTCTCGTTGAAGGTCTAACGAGAGTGTGAGTGTTTTTAATCACTGAATAATCGATTTGCGTCCTTGTAGTTGAAGGTGTTTCGACAATAAAGGTTCCGTAGGTGTATAATTGCATGACTAATCATGCTATGTGTAGTGAAATTCCGAACACAATGGCATCAGTGGATTAACTGTCCCTTACAATATTAGTGGACGAAATTTATAATATTGACGTAAACTAATCACAGCATAGAACATGATGCTTTGAAACGAACTGTGTGTGAATAATATTTTTCTGTCCAAATGTAAGGTAGGGTCCATTCGTATTAAAAGGTGCGTAATGGAATAGCGCCAGATTTATCAATACCCGTCTAGATGCCTGGTGCACAAGTGTTTTTTTTCTAATTTTATTGTTTTGCCATTGGCCTGGCACAGTGGTCGGCAAACTCAACAGTAGAGCGTACAGTACAATTTTTTAAACTAAAACCATAGTAGGTATAATAAGACAAATGGAAACTCCATACAAAACATTTACATTTACATAATCTCGCGATGCATTCGCGTTGCATAGCGCCGTCTTACGTGCTTTTCATTATTATGCGAATATGAGCGTCCGTACACGGCACACGGTGACCGTGCACACATACAAGCCGCGCTACTACATTGTGTGGAGTTACCTACGTAGTTAGTAGGTACATTGTTACTACTCTAATTAGAGTACTCTTGGCTTTTACTAAAAGCGTCCTCAGTCTGATGAAGGTACGTTCCCTGAGGTTGACCCCTTCCAACTTTCTCATCCACACTTGTCTTGTATACCTGATCAGTATCGGTATTTTGTGGAAGAGCTACAGTCAAGAAGTTAAAGAACTGCATATGGCTCGAGAGCCGCGATTTGCCGACCACTGGTCTGGTATATCGTCACCGAAATGGCAAAAGTACTAAAGCATCAATGTAGACAGACAATTTTTCTTTCTACTGCGACCTATCTGTATTCTGCACGGACTAGAGCAAAAAAGAGAGCTATAGAACTGTACCCTATTATTGATTGTATTACAAGCGACAACAAAAAGTTATCTTAAAGGGTTCTGTCTTTCCGGCGACGATATTTTATTCATATCTCAATGATGAACACCTACTGACTTTTTGCTTTTGTAATTACACTAAAAGATTAAGATCAATCGTGGTTATTAAGTGATGATATAATTATTTGGCTTTTTTGTGTTCTAAGTATGATTAAGTGTAGTGTTGATTATATTCTTATAAAATTATCTTATTTAAGACGATACAGTTTTGTAAATCTGGTTTTAACACAAATGCAAATATTCTGCTTCAAAAAACAAGGTTCTTCATGATTAAATCCTCTGCTTTAACGTCCATTTCTTCAGGTATTATATTATCCCTTGGCACTGTATTTTAAATTGTGACATAGATAATATGAAATAAATGATAATGTAATTGTCGATAATGACGATGATTCCATTAACAAACCCAAATTATCAAATGTGAAAACGCAGAACACACGAGAACATTAGCTAGACTAGCAAATGTACCAGTACGGGGCAAACTTTCTCTTCAACAAGGTACTTCTAAGTAGATTAAGTTTAAATATATGAGTAAATACTACTTGCATTTGTGTTGTTCTATATGACGTTATTGGCGAACTCACCTTTCGCTGGCGATGGAACTGTTCCTCGACATAGATTTGGGTGACATCTCGAAGTCTGAGTCGGAGCGGTAGAGGAAGGACTCGCGGCGCTGCGGCATGGCCTGGAGGACGAGCGCGGCGGAGGGGGAGCCCCCCTCCAGGGGCGACCGAGCACCCCCCGCACCGGCTCCCGCTCCCCCGCCATTCTCCACATCGAAGCTGGAACAATAGAGGCGAAAATTAACCTTGGTACAAAAAACAATACTCCCGGATTATCAGCACCACTGTCCGTAGGGATGTGCGCTTTATTAAAAGACGTTTATCTTTACACAAAATAAAGTTTTCCTAAATTATTTATGTACAGTCAAAGCACAATTTTACATTTCTAATAATTGTAGTAACTAAACAAATTATGCAATAAATTATATTATATATAAATTTTTATAATTTTTAATATAAATTATATATATATTAAATACTTTTCGTCAGCAAAAATACAAAAAAATTTGGACTTAGCCCAAAAGTACGAGTAGCTTGGCATAATCACAATAGAGTAAACATAGTTTTACTATAGTTCGATAATCATTTACGTAAAACCAACGAAGTCTTAATAAGCAAATGAACAAACTGTTTCAAGTGCTACGACGAAATCCATAATTACCTTCTTCGAACTGTCATATTAATATCCTATTTAAAAACACTAAAAAAAACACAACACTTGTATGTCCACAGAATCTACTGCCCAACAGACTACATTTTGTATACTAAAACATTGTTCATTATTTTATAATGAAACTACATAACCTTACACGTGTTAAAGTCTTGCTCTATTAAACAATAAACCTTTTTACGAAATGGAAAATAATAGATATGTTATCGTGACGCTCGTAGACACAATTTGATAATTATCTTTGTGGAGGATTATAAGGATAACAAACCGTTTAGTCAAGTTAGAATACGGTAGAATTAATGATGATATGACATATGATATTTGTTAATTAATCTTTGAACATGTTGAATGATTAGTTTAGCATTTAAATCTGAACAAATAAAATTTTAATCTACCATAATCTCCGTACAGAGCATTAAAAAAACCGACCTCAAAAGTTCGTGGAATTACATCTATTTGCCAAGTTTTATTGAAATCTGTTACCGGAAAGTGCGCAAAAACGATTCATCCCCTAGTTTGCCACCCTTGGAGGTGGAATATTTTCTTCAAATTTAAATGAGAACACTACTGAGGTACCCTCTTTCCAACGAAATGAGAATCATCCAAATCGGGTCACAAATACCAGAGTTATGGCGTAAGACACATAAAAAAACATACAGACGAATTGAGAACCTCCTCCTTTTTTGAAGTCTGTCAAAAATTGGTAGAGCGAACGAGATTCGAGTCCTGTCAGGCTGAAAGAATTAATCTTTATGTTCTTTCTATTTTTTATGATACCAAGTGAAGAGACGAACAAGTCGTGCGCCTGGTGGTAAGCGTCACGTCTCTCCATAACAGTTGCAGTGCAATTGTATTATGCATCTTTCGCATAAAATATGCAAGTCTGTAATATACTATAAATAGCCGCTCAGTGCTTTAAAACTCAAAAATCTGAGGTGCACAGCCATTGCGCCCTTCACCCTGAGACATAAGTTGAAAAGTCTCATGTGCCTGTAATTCCACTAGCACCGTCACCCTTCAAAACTGGAACGCAATAATGCTCGGTGGCAGAAATAGTTAAGGTGGCAGTATCTCCCTGGATGAACTCTTTCACAAAGAACTCTACTGCTACTAAAACTTTACTGTTCGATCTTTGTACTAATAATTATTAAAAACTAGCGGAGTAATGTCAGAAAAAAAATATTATGGTTGTAAAACATTCATTACAATTAATATTTCAAAACAAAGTTGTTACAATAGATTTTTCAAGAGCATTGTTGTAGACATTAAATGAAGTTTGTAAAGTTAAAAAGATTAACGTACTTTTACGTTTGTTCTGTGTAAGTCAGAGCATATTTAACAACGATTTTCGCGATATTTGTCTTTGGTTTTCCATATATGGAGAGTCTGATTAAACGAGCTCATTTTGTACGGAAAATAAAATATTTACTTTGTTCTAAAACCCATTTACAAAGTGATATTAAACCGCACGAGCGCCGCGATGTTCGAGTTACTCTGATTCGAAAATCAACTAGATTAAAATGAGTATTTACATTCAACACATTTGCATCACAATAACAGTAAAGAGCTTTATTTTTAAAGCGACATCTAGAGGAAAATTAGTGCACACCTGTACTTTGTGGGGAGGTAAGCCCAGCTGTTCGTTTATGTAGTACTCACAATTACCGCAAGATGTCATTTAAAAAACGCGCGAGAATAAAAAGGTCTCAAGTGCCGCTAAAATGATTTCTCTACCGCGTTCCGGGTGCAATTTAGGTTGCCGTGCTTCTGTAGTGCCTCTAATATGTTTGCAGAGGCACGTACAGATTGCTGTTTTATAATAATACGAAGCGTTGTTCTTCAAATAGCATCCTTAGCGCCCGTCTCGACAGGTGGGGCACTCCGATGATGATGCGGCGCTGGGTGCAGCTGCACACGGCAGCAGGCTACATTAAAAAAAATTGTACGCAATTGTTTCTAACACTAGTTTAAGTTACATTGTTATAAACACTATGGATTCATGAGTTCGAAATAAATTATTATTATAATTATTTTACATAATAAATTAAATTGAATTATTTTAGAATATAATTATTATGTATAAAGAGTATGGTAAAGTATAGTATGGTATAATGGGCTGGCGTACAAAATATTACAACATTTCTAAGTAACATTGTTCCAAATAAAATAATTAGAAATAACTTACGTAAACGAATGATACATACTTTAAACATTACAAGTCACATTTAAAACAGAATAAATAAAGAAACAAATAAAATGTAGTAGGTAATTGACTAAGAACTTATTAACTTTTATTGTTTATTCGAATTATAATTTAAGGTCCTTGCACAAAGAAATCAGTGAATAATAAATGGTCACCATTGCCGGAGTATATAAAAAATGAAGAACATTTAAAAGGGTGCTCATAATCGTGTTATAGTTACATTTTGCGCTACGTATACATAACATAAATCCTAACTAATAAAAATTCTAACATAAAGACTAAATTTAAAACAAAAACTTTGCTCTATTCTTTATATTCTGCTTGTTTAGGGTTTTCCCTCTGAAGTCCTATATTATACGGTACAGGGAATTGGCAAGCTTAACACGAAATACTTGGTATGATTGTATAGAACATTATAACGAAAATTCAACATTGCCCCAATCTCCGTATTAAAAATAAATAAATTTGTCAGTTCCTTATAACAGGATGTTCCAAGTAGTAAGTAGTAAGTAATGCTGCATTCAAAAACTACTCAAAAATTTCTTGCTTCATTTGGAAATCAGATGGTGATCACTTCGATTCCCAAATGAAGCAAGTCACTTTTCAGAAGTCTTTGAATGGAGTATTAGAGTAGCCTGGTCTACGAACACGCACTTATGGTTTGAGATGGTGTAGAATGAAAACAAAAAGTGTTAGAAAACCAACAATAATTTTATTTAGTACTGTATTAATCTGACTCTTACATTGTTAATGTGCGCATTATTGCGTTCCGGTTTGGAAAAATAAGGGTGTTGGTGAAATTACAGGTACATGGAACTTTTCAACTTGTCTCGGAATGACGGGCGCAGTGGCAGTGCCCCTAAGATCTTTGCGATTTAAACTCTGATTAGCATTACAACTTTTAGGGATAGGCGTGTCGCTTACCACCAGGCGCACGACTTGTTCGTCCCGTCACATTATAAAAAAAGTCCCATGTGCCTGTAATTTCACCAGCACCCTTACCGTTCACAATCGGAAAGCAGTAATCCTCTCCATTATGGCTTGGTGGTCGAAATACGTAAGGTTGCAGTACTTTCCTGGACGTCCAGAAAAAACGATACAGCCATCTAACCGGGTAAGATGAATGGCATTGATATTCTGCTTTTCGGCTCAGAGTTGCCAGTTTACCTTTTGTACCTAATTATCTGCCAGATCGATTGATATTTCGTAGAAACAATGATTTCAACGACAAAATCATATGACGGAACTGTCAATTGCCTGACAGATAATTTAGTTGAAACCGGATGGCATCGAGTATATTACCAGAAATAGAGACGAAATGTCATTTAATTTGTTTTAAAACTATTCTGCCATATCATTACTGTGATAACTGCGCTTCAATTGGCTAGACCGAGTTCGAAACAATTGGCGGGTGTCGTCAATGTGTGTCGTCAACTGTTTCACTTCAAATCGACCAGTTAACTTGAGTTTTGCTATAATGGACGCAAATTGCAAAATTACGTATTTAATATTTAATTACCGATGAAATGTGATTCCGTTTGTTTTGTAATTAGATGTTTTGCAGTTTTTCCCATACCATCGAATAGAACAGCACGGCATTGTTCGAGATATTGTCTTTGTTACAATAAATACAGAATATTTTTTGGAATATACGGAGTCGTACTAACAATTCAGTAGTTGGCCTGTCTATATTTCAGTGCAAACGGGAGTTGATATTATAAGAGCTGTATCGCTAATGTGTCACCAGGAATATATGGCCCTTATTTCGTCTCTATTTCTGGTTATATACTCGATGCCGGATGGTTTTAATGGTTCTACTCGTATTGTGTAATCATCATTGATGAAAAAGAAATATAAGTCCACCATGTAAATGTAAAATTTACATAAAATGTAAAAAGCATAGAAGCACTGTACAAAGAACAACTGGTCTGCTTCGCTGAATAAATAATTGAGATCTAAGTGGGTGTCAACGCCAAGTTATATTAAACTTTGACTTTTTGGTTATTAAGCAAGTTTTTCCTTTGATGTTTTTTTGCAAAATCAACTTATCTATATATTATTATATTATTAAACTTTATTGTAAAGAATTTAGGTAGGTATACGTTGTTCCCATTTCCTTAATACGACGAAGTACAAAAGACAACTGAGATTCATGGAAATGATATCCAACAAAAGTGAAGCAAAGCAAAACAAAACAAAACATTTGCGAAGTAGGCTCTACATTTATGTACGCTCGTAATAACTCTAAATAAACAACAACAAAATAGAACTCGTTTGTAAACGACAACATCATAAATGTCGAATAGCGATGTGTGACTTTGAATGTTACTAATACTAATCATTCGCCTAAGTCGAATCCAAGTATAATCATTCGCCCCGAGTTGCATGATTACCGACATCGAACGCCTCTGCCTTTCGGTCGGGTCTACGAATCGATTGATTATTATGTCGGAACTACTTGGGACTTCATCAGATCACTCTTCATATCCATATCAAAATATCCCTGTCCCCGTCACAATTACGGTATTTACCATACATCAGAGAGGGCTAGTGATCACGAGCAGAAATGCTCTATGGATTAATAGTGCTAATTAGTAATAAATGATCATTCAGATCATTCGAATACGAAAATTAGTAGATTACTAATTTGACGTTCGAATAACAGGATTAGTAATTACTAACGAGTCGAATATCGAAATCATTCACAATCGCGCATCGCTAATGCTGAATCACTCAGTAAATAAAAATAAAGATTTAGTATCCACATTTCACATGACATGCTAAATTGCGTACAAATTTCGATGTAGAATTTAAATTTAATTGGGTCTAGCCGTGTCAGCAACTGGTGTAATGTGACGTGAGACGTCATCAACTCTTTTCGGGCGTAAAATGTTTTTTTTTTATGAGACCAAGTGACGGAACGAACAAAGTTGTGCGCCTGATAGTAAACGAGCGCCTGTCCATAGCAGCTGCAGTGCCACTTAGAGCTTTAAATCGTAAAGATCTGATGGCACCATCGAGTATATAACCAGAAATAGAGACAAAATGTCTGTGAAACTTGTTTGAAAACTATTCTGCCATATCATTACTGTGACAACTGCGCTCTGATTGGCTAGCCCGAGTTCGAAACAATTGACGGGTGTCGTCAACGGGTGTCGTGAAATGTTTCACTTCAAATCGACCAGTGATCTTAAGCTTTGCTATAATGGACGAAAATTGCAAATTTACATATTTAATATTTAATTACCGATGAAATGTGATTCCGTTTGTTTTGTAATAAGATGTTTTGCTGTTTTTCCCACACCACCGAATAGAACAGCACGGCATTGTTAGAGATATTATCTTTATTACAATAAATACAGAATATTTTTTGGAATATACGGAGACATACACACAGGTTATTAGTTGGCCTGTCTATATTTCAGTACAAACGAGAGTTGATATATATAACAGCCGTATCGCTAATGTGTTACCAGGAATATATGGCCCTTATTTCGTCTCTATTTCTGGTTATTTACTCGATGGATGACATTGTCACTGCGCTATAAGTTGACAAGTCCATGTACCTGTAATTTCATCCTTAAACTTCAAAACTGAAACGCAGTAATGCTCACGGTGACAGTACTTCCCTGGACGGATTCTTTCACAACATAGACTACTAAAGTGATTTTCATTATAACGAAAAGTGACCCGTTATCCTTTGATATCTGTCACAACAACCGAACCCCACAAAATGCTTTTGAAGGGCTCCAGCAACTATTGGGTTCCCATTCAAGAACGTTCTCAATAATGAATTGTTGTGCAACAATGACGTAACGCTATTTAAGGGTGTTGGACCCGAAAAGAGATGTTCACGCAATTTGCGCTCCAAGTCATCGAGATCAAAACAATACCACAGCGTTTAATCGAAGCTACATGGTGATGATACGAAAGACTTAAAACTTACTTACGTACTTAACTTTAAACTTTTTTTTACTAGTTTCCTTTTCGCGTAACGACGAGTTATTTACGTTAAAATCCCATTTCTAGGATTATTATTTTATTATTAAACAACAAGCGAGAATTTACCTAAACGTATTATCACCTAAAAGTATTATCTTATTCACTCATCACTAATGTTAAATATAATTATTTACCGATAACGTTTTGTTCAATATTATATAATGATATATAAAGGAAGGAAAACTGTCATTAGCTTTAATCTTAGCCTATATACTATGTAAAATACCTTATGTAACGCCGTTGGTTTTCCTAACAAATAAATAAAATACATACTTTTACTTATTTTCTGATTTCTTCTTGTGTAATATATATTTAAACACAAGTAATCTCGGTACACAGTCATCCCCTAGTTTGCCACTCTTAAAGGTGGAATATTTTCTTTAATTTAAATGGAACTGTTGAATATTTAGTATTTTTGATAGTTTTGAATTTTAATTATTAACTAATATAGCATAGGGTTTTTGTATTACTAACAAATTATGGACTAATGATTGTCTGATAATAAATGATTTTTATTTTTCATTTTTATTTATTTTTTATTAGGGTTTTTTTTAATAGATTTTTCATCAATATGTTGTAACTTTAAACTAGGCTGAATGTACGTAAATCTAAGTAATTGCATAAGATCTCACTGCTGTCAACATTGTCCCTGCACCTTTCGTCCTTTGCCTGTGCTACAATAAACTGCGTTAATTTTTCAAGTATTTTGTTTTTGTTCTAAATCACAAAAATAATAAGTAACCAGCCCTCTACACTTAACAGGGACCACTTCTGAGGTACCCTCTTTCCAATAAAAAGAATTATCAAAATCGGTTCACAAATTATCGTGTCATTTATTGCGTAACATACATACAAAAAAAAAATTGAAAACATACAGTCAAATTGAAGGCTTCTCCTTTTTTAAAAGTCGGTTAAAAATACTAAAACGTTTATATCACTTCTAAGACTTTTTGTCACTGAATAATTACTTTAAGTGGCATATATAGCTACAGTTTAGTAGCACTTTAAAATTAAGTAAAGTTAAAATTTTAGTAGCAATAACGCTCCTTGCCAAAGAGTTCATCCAGGAAAGTACTGTCACCTTATTAATTTCTGACGCCAAGCAGCAATGTGAGCTAATGCTGTGTGTGTTCCATTTTGAAGGGTGCTAGTGAAATTACAAGCGCTATGGGACTTGTCAGATTGTATCTCAGAGTGACGAGCGCAGCGCATTTATGATTTAATGCTCTGAGTGGCACTGCAAGTGCTTTGTACAAGCGTGACGCTTCGCTTGCCACACGCACGCACGACTTGTTCGTCCCACCACTTGGTATCACATATAAAAAAAGTTCAAAAAATACCAGCCTCATTTTTAAAATACAACTTTTCCTTTCTAGGTCGCTGTAATTGGGTGGGATGGAACGAAACGGAAGCATATGAAACATAAACCTTGCAATAACTAACGTATGTATGTACACAAATACGATTTTAAAACAACATACTAGACAACACGCATACGTGTTCGACGTAATTCATAGTTAAATAGGCATGCACTGTGAGACATAGACACGTTAATAATGTAGATTTGTTGGCAAGAAAATCAAAACAATGTATGTAATTATAGGTTGGTTTGAGGTTTCAAATATTGAACAGACTTGTAAAGACACGAAGTGACACGTAAGGACAAATATTTCACGGGGTAATAAACACATGTCAGCTTTGTCTTTAAAATAAGTTATTGGTACTTTAGTTCCGGGAGTTTTATTGTTCGTCGTTCAAGTCTCAGCTGCCATCGTACGGTTCTTTTAAGTGCGTGCCTACTGAAGGTTTTCATTTGCTTTTGTTTCTTGGCAAAAGTGCCAAAGGATTTTATTATGTACTACGTCTCACATCTTCGCTTTCGATTCGCTATTCGCATTTTAGTTCTATTTCAATGAATAATTCTAAAGCTGCATATCACTTTGTAGTAAAACTTTACATGAATAGCACGTCGACCGCGATTTCCACAGGGATAGCACAGGTACAGTGTACAGCACAGTTGCACATATACATAGCTAGCACAACTCTGCTCCGAAGCACTAGAATTAAATGTTTAAAAGCTCTTTAGACAAGCACTCTTCCAAACTAACAATTTTCATAAAAGCAGCCGTTGATGTACTGGCGATCAAGGTTTGTAAGTCTTAATATAATGATCATAAGTACCTTTTTTATTTCATTTATATCCAATTACTTAAAATGGAAGCAAATTCACTCAACTAAGTCGTAAACCAGGAAGTCCATATAAAAAAAACACGCGAGCAAACGCACCACTTTCATCATAAAAGTAGGTCACATTTTTAGTACCTGCCAGTAGTTCTTCTTCTGACGGAGACCGGGGTTCTTCGTAGTGGTCTTCTGGTCGAACCTCGTGCGCTCCACCGCCGTGGTGCTTCGCTCCACCTGAGCATTTATCTCGTCAGCTACGACCACCACTAGCTCGTAGAATATCCCATTCTCCATCAAATAGAAAACTTGTGCTCGTGTATCTACTCCAGTGAAAGTATGAAAAGAATTTTTACGCTCTATTTTGTTTTGTGGAGACTAGCCAGTTCGGTTGTATTTGTAAATAGTAACGTGGGTTTGTGTAGTGCTAGGGAGTTATTTAGTCAGATGTAATGTAAAAGTATCGATTTTTTAAAAATATTTTCGTACGTTAGTAGGACTATAGATACCATGTGTTTTAAAGATTTTGTTTCATTTTTATTGATATAATAAAAAATGATTGCAGGTTTTTTAATAAAATGTCAATAATAATAACGCACATACTCAAATTAACCCTGTGTCGCAGGTGCCATGGACACACATATAGACAACCACAAATTACACCCAAACTCACGAGATAAATAAATGCAGGCCATACAAACATTTCTCTGGGCCCGGGAATCGAATTAGGGACCTCTGCGTGGCAGTCCAGCATAAAAACCTTTCGGCCACGAAGGCCGTATAGCCATATACAGTTATAGACATATTTGTCCAAAATTTTACTTCATGGATAGTGAAAATGTGAACGAGGGTAATACAAGGTCAAGAGTAGGTGAAGTTTGACATTTAAGTTATAAATTCAACTTTATGCTGCTTAAGATAAGAACGATCCAAAGTCCAATTTGTGAAAATTGATAAGTCAAGTATAAAAACGTAAATACCGTGACTACTGTTACAAAAAGTAACGTAAATTAAATTTCTAGTAAAAAGTGAACATTTTCTGTAAATCTAAGATAAATTTAAAGGCAGCACCTATGAAAGGCCCCACTTAACTAGCTCTCGTACCACACGAAAAGGCGCGAGTGAATAGCACTTCATTAATCCTGGAGGATTCAAAAAAGTTTTCACGTGGAAAGAAGTAAATTAACAGGGTCGTTAGACTACATGAATGGCATTTGAAAAGTTAAAATCAACTTTAAGACTTAGAAATGTTTGAAGTATGAAAAAAAACGGTTGCAAGTTTGTTAAAGTAGAAAATATATGATGGGCAAAGTAAATATTATGAATTTTTGGGGATTTATTGATCGCCAATTTTTGCAAGGAGTCACAATCACAGAAGAACAAAAACAATGAAAGTGCCATAGCTACGATTTCTATAGAATAGCTGTCGCCAAAAGTAACACATTCATCATTTGAAGTCAATATGAAATCTTGATAGTGATTGCACGTAGTTTCAAATTAAAAAAAATTTTAAATTCAAAAGAAACAAATTCTGTATCGTTAATATAATTTAAACTTTACCCTGTTGGCATATCGTTGAAAGATCAATACTATCAATACTTATTATTATTGCAAGTTACGACGTTTGTTACGAAATTTCAATTACTGTGCTGCCATCAAGCGGTTAATAGCTGTACGACGACGAATTTGAGATTTTTACTAAATTCTCCAAAAAAGAAGCGGCTGTATTGCGACGGTATAAGGTTTACTTTCGTTTCTTGTAACAAAAAAAAATGATTGCGGTAAACAGAAAATTCAAAATTTATTAAATTATATAAAAAAGACTTAATAATGATACGACACACCACGGTATATAATATTACAAGTACGACTACCATTTTTGCACTCCATAGTAGTGAAATAAGGCAATTTCTACGATTTTCGAGGTTTTGCTTGAGATAATTGACACGACCATAACGTCCAAAGCGAAAATGGTGGACTGAGCTCAAGTTTGCGGAACTCCGCGAACTGTTGGCACACGTGGAACGCAAACTAAACACTTTTACTTTATTATTTATTTATTTATTTATTTATTTATTTATTTATACATTATTATTATTATGATTCTCTGTTGCTGTGACGGCGCCACCGCTTTCGCGCCCTTTTTTACATCGAGTTTTATATCGACAGACTTAATTTTAATGTGAAAACGCTCCAATAAATGCATGGGGCAGAAATATGATTTCTTAGTATATATGAGCGGAAGTCACCTAAGAATATATTCCTACTATAAATTGATGTTGTTTAAGGATAAACTTGTTTATTGCTGTACTCATTGTAATAATTATTAATAATAATTAGCCAAACCGCATGCGATACAATGTCACTTGAGAAAAAAGCTGTTTTTTGGAAGAACATCTGTAAAAGAACCGCCTTATCTGCCAGTCACATTTACTGAAACTACTGACTTCACCTCCTATTTAAAAATGGTTGCAATACTTCACAAACTTTTTTATTGATTTTCGAGGTTTCGAGGAGAGATAATTGACACAACCATAACGTACAAAGCAAAAATGACGGACTGAGCTCAAGTTTGCGGAACTCCGCGAACTGTTGGCACACGTGCCACGCAAACTAAGCACTTCTACCGTATTTATTGTTCTATGATCATCGTATTATTGAAATAAAACGTACGCGCGGCTGTCGTGCCACACTCGCGCAACTGCAGCACTTCTTTAAGTGTCTAATTTGAAAGCTCTACGATATGTAGTCACTACGTACGTAACGATACGTACAAGTATTTCGAAACGATTTTACGATATAATAATAATATAAACAAACATAAAACTGCGTAGAAGATTTGTGTTATAAATATCTACCATCAAGTTATATGTTGTAAACATGAACAACTGAAACACATTGACTTTAATCAATTTAACCCATCAAGATGGAATCAATCACTACATCATTCAATTCATTACTTCAAATGGGAGCTCCAATAATTATGCCTGATAAGCTCAAACCATGTTCAAGAAATCAATTATATAATCACCGTAAATAACATCTTGCTTTTTTTTATTATATCAAGTGACGAGACGAACAAGTCGTGCGCCTGGTGGTAATTGACACGCCTATCCATAACAGTTGCACTGCCTCTTAGAGCTTTAAATCTCAAAGATCTGAGGGGCACAGCCACAGCGCCCGTCACCCTGAGTCATAAGTCGACAAGTCTCATGTGCCTGTAATTTCACCAGCACCCTTACCCTCTAAACCGAAACGCAGTTGTTTACATTACTGCTTGGCGGCAGAAATAGGCAAGGTGGCCGAACTCTTTCACAAGGAGCTCTACTGCTATCTTGTTTATTTCGATCTCATGAACTGTTTGTTGTTTATCAGTGATTCTACTATCTAAGCCTGTTTGTTTGACCTATCATCTCTCAAGCAGAGGCCGTGAGTTCAAAGACGGGCTCGTACCTCTGAGTTTCTCGGAATTTATGTGCGAAATTTAATTTAATTTGAAATTTACCAAGAGCTTTTTGGGGAAGGAAACATCGCGATGAAACCTCCACGCCAAGCCTCACAACCTTCGGAACCCGCATTTGGCCAGCGTGGCGGACTATGGCCTAAATCCTCGCCTGAGAAAACACTCATGTCCTGCAGTGGGACGTATAATGGGTTGACGATCATGATGATTATACTATCAATTAATACGTTAATCATTGCAATCTGTTGTTTAATCTAGTATATAAGGAGTTAAAATCTATCTATAGATATTACAAAAGATATTAAAGATAACTCGACAGGAAATGTTTTTCTTGTCCCTTGCTTTTATCTGCGATGTGAGACAGAAAATATTCTTTAAAAGATTTTACCCATTCTAGTCCGTTACTTCTTTTGAATTCACGTATCGTGTATTATAGTAGAACTTGTATCTGAACGTTCCGTTCCACTCTGTGTCATCCAATGAAAAGAATGCAGCCTCATCGGTGCTTCGCTAAGTAATTAAATCTGTCAATAGATGCTTTTGTTATCCTCCCCTTTTCTATACTTTCTTTGTAATGGATTGTGCTCTCGGCTTTCCTGGGATAGTATTACGAACACCGTCATTCTGATAAAAAAATGTTCGAAGCAATATTTCTTTTTTTGAGGCGTTTTACATTAAACATAAGCTAACATTTAGGACATCATATACGTTGCTCTGATCCCAAAGTAAACACTAAAGCACCTGTATTGTGGAAAACGGAAAAAATGATGATGGTATCAAAAATAACCAAGCCCTAGACAACACACAAAAGTTAGTTTCTACATTCAAAACCGAAGTCGGGACTTCACAGATGGTGACACCATAACAACCGGTGTGCACGCCACTCGATCACGGCGGTCGTCATTCAAAACCACAAGCCAACCAGGAAGTTAGTTTGTTATACATGTCGAAAATCCTATTTGTTATCAATCGAAAAGCTGAAAGAAGAAAGATCGAACTTTGTCAAAGTTCGAGGTCCCCTTACTACGAATAAGGAAATAAGCGAAATTTCTTTGATGTTGAATTGAAAATCCAATTTTATGGAAGGTAATACAATTTCCTTATTAAACTGTCGGATGCAAATACGGACCTTTCTACTTTAGCATCTACAGGAGGTTTGGAGAAAATGAATCGAATTAAAGACTTGAAAAGCAGCAGTAAGGTCATACAGCAATGTTATTTGTGCAGACGCATCGTAACGTAATTAGAACAATTAAATTGAAATGGAAAATATCAAGCTGCCCATATTTTACAAAATACTCTTTAAATTAACAGCGATTAACACGTCATGAAGTATACTGTAGTTAATTTAGAATAGAATAGAATAGAATAGAAGTCGTTTATTACTACGCCACAAAAATATACACAGTAATAAAATGAAGACAAAAAAAAAGATGAAGCTACATTAAAACAAAAAATTAAAATAAAAATAACCGGAAAAAAAAGGAATAAAAATAACATCATACACATCAACTGTAACAGAGCAAACATAAAATATTTAACACAATTAGACTAAATGTCATGTGCGCGGCTGTGGCGTAAGTAACAGGATCCCACTCAGCTATTGTCACCACCGAGGAAAGGCTGTGACGCTGATTTTCAGTGGGCCCTAAAACCGAGTGAGTACCGGACACATTTACCGGACACGGAATTTCACATAGCATGATTCCGGTGGCATTTGAAATTTGAAAAAATCATTTAAATATCTTATCGACATAACTTGTAAGGGAAAGAGTATCGATTTACAGAAAATAATTTAAAAAACAAACAATGAACAAAATAAAAAGGAATCAATTATTATGTTATTAAGTTACCTAAAAACTACAAAAAAAAATCAACGACAAGCAAACAAAAGGTCGACAATAAAGCATAAAATCAACTGCAACGGAACTAAAATTGAACAATTACTCCAAAAACATCACGCAAAGCTCAAAATAAAAAAAACTACTCGTATACAATATATAAGTAGTCGTATTGACGCGAGACACAAAACAGCCGATTCGATTTATCGATTTTGTGGTGTAAATCTCTACGGATAAAATATTCCGATTTACGCATCAAGTGATTGGGGTAATTTACTTTTATCTGTATTTTTTTTATTTTCGTTTTACTTAATATACAGTAAATTTATTTAAAATTACAACTGCAACCAATATTGTATGTTTTTGGCATATTATGACAAATTTACTATTTCTTTTTGTACCCTGGTTAAGAGATTAGTTAAAAATAGTATGCGTGTAACGTAAAAATTCGAAATGTCACAAGACTCATCCACTACACTTTTTTCAATTTAGTCAGAAATATACAATGGCGAATCACAGATGACATCAGTATCACTGACTTACAATCGGTCTATTTCAAGTATATGACGCCCCTAAATAGCTTTTGACCTTCCAAAATTATGAGCAACATTAGCCGATGATAGCTCATGGACATCGATATAATAACCGGAGATATTTTTGAAACAACACCTACACCATTTTGTAAATATATTAAAAAAAAGAGTACTCTATTTGACCATTTTGTATAAATTTACATCAATAACAAAGTTGATACAATAAACAATATAACGGTAGATATTATATATAGTTACTTCTTTGATTTTGAATTGTGTTTAAAATTTTACTTTTGGTCATATCTGATAACATTATCTGTAAATCTATTATCAGTACGGATACGTTGGATTACTTGGAATCCAATGAAATCATAAATCATAAAAGATAATTACAATACCACTTGCGCGCAGTTATAAATTTTGGCATTACTCACACTAGCTCCTCCCTCTAAAATTAATTTAAATTAAAATATATAAATATGATTTGCTAAGTCCAACTTCGGGGGCTACTTTTTTATTCTCCGCACTACATTTAATAATTTTGCAATTGACGGGGGATTTTAGAATAATTTGTCAATAACAGGAGTAGCGTGGGACATGTGTATAAACGTGCATTTAAAAATTTTGTCGAATGTTTGATATACTCCTAAATTTGATGTAATTTACAGTAATCTAAAAACATTAAATAAAAACCTATAAATCGATTTTTTTTACCTCCCTTAACTACTAATAAAAATGTAAGAATTCAGAAGTGAAAATAATTTGCATTATAGTAATATTAAGTATTCATTGTGATAATTAAATGAACGTAGGATAGTTGTTCCTTTAATGTTTCATAGAAATAGGTATTGGGTCAGAGGTGGCTGGAAGTTAGTACTAAACTTAGAAACAAGAGGTGTCAAAGTGCAATATTTCTTAGTAAAAAGTCGTTTTTAATTTTGCTATCGGTCCAACTTCGAAAATTTCGTTGAAGCTGCTTCGGCACGCGGAAAAGGGATTACCTTTCTTCCTGTACTCTACATTAATAGAGTATAAAGACTGAACTACGTAATTTATATCAACCCCAAATGCTAGAATGATTAACAAGTGCTTCGTTTTCTCGGCTTAACACTTCACGGATTTAACTAAGATAGCATAAGTAATCACCTTATAGTGTTCTGATGTACTACTGTGCTATATGTAGGAAGAAATTGCTGGAAACCTTTTAGAAAATGTACTTGTCACAAAAAAGTCTTAACACACTTTTTAAATTCTTAATTTCGCAATGCTAACGTGAAGGTCTGAATAAACTAGTTAAAGTTGATCGAAATTTGTGACGCAATTCTTGCACTTTGCAGCGACCTTCAAACCAAGACAGGTTCAAGTCACATGCAAAAGTTAAATTACATATATAAATTTACGCTTTTACATTATAATTATTTCCAGTTACATTATAATTATTAAAGTTACCTCCTATTTAAGGAAACGAAAAGCAAATAGTATTGTAGTAGCGATATTTAAAAACATATTTCCCTAAGTAAGTTTCTCAAGGATTTACGTTTTTGTTTATTTAGTGTCTTAACATCATCCTAATAAAACTTGGCTAATTAAACATGACGATCACAATGAATGGTTGTTATTGACATAATGAAGTGGTTCTAGGAAACGCTTATTATATTGAGTATAAGTAGCAAATGAGCCGGTAGAGCTATCGATCAGATATGGAAGAGCGTTGTTTTCTCTTTTTCAATATTCAATTCATACTATTAACGCAGATATATTGTTATTCTAATCTAAGTTGTATTGTGTTGACAGTTGCGTGTTTGTAATGTAGGGTGGGAGCCAGGTAATGAGGCATCGACCTCTTAGGGTGGTCGCTATTTGTCTGGCTGGAGCTAGTCGTGGTCGTGCTGAGGGTGGAGAGGTCACTGGAGGCGCGCGCCGAGCGCAGCCGCGGCAACACGGGGGCCTCATCCGCCTCAGGGGAGGTGGCTACCGTGTCGCACGCCCAGCCCAGCGCGCGCGCTGCCGACCACACCGCGAACACGAATGTCAGCATGGTGTGGCTATCGAGCCACTCGCCGGCGTCTCCTGAACGCTCTCCACAAACACTCTCGTGGTAAATGCATCGGTTCAAGTTCACACTTTCGTATCAGTTAATCGCGGTTGATCTGGCATCTCCGAGATGCTGGCGAGGGCATCGCGATGTGTGAGATGCACGTGCGGCGCGACGTTCGGACTGCGCGATCACTACTGTACTGAAGTCGGCGCCACGCGCACTCTACGTTTCACTCGTGTTATCGTCATATCGACAGTAAAGCCAGACGGCTCCTCCGTCGATCATTCATTCATCTGTCTTGTTGTATCACATAATTTTGTAATATGTCACAAAAATAAGCACTGCAACGGTCGAATGTTTGTAGAAATGTCACCGCGAGATCGTCATTTTTGTTCGTACTACAAACGATTCATATGGGTACGTTTGAATGTGGCTCCCACAGACGGCAACGCGTGCTTGTTGATATTATTTATGTGCCAGGCCGGAGACCGGTCGCGGTCGGCGTGACGCGGCACTGTTGACGTTGCGCGGCGCGGGGAACGTGAGGGGCCGAGACGTCACTCACTGCTTGGCTCACCCGCGCCGCCACTCATCGAAAGGGCACGTTCTATATTTATAAGCAACCCACAGTCACATCACCGCAAAGAAACAATAGCAATGTGTCATTAATACGCTTGAGTTTTAATACTATGTCACTTGTTGCACGCGCGAGTAGTACCGGCGATGGTGTGGCGGGTCACTGCTGGCGATCAATCGATCAGGCAGGCTGCTTCCGTGCCGATATGCGTGTCAAGGTGTGCAACGCGCCGGGAAAGCGTGTCAACGTAGTTCGGACAGGAAGAGCGTCGCGAGCATCCTGCGGCTGCCCGACGACGGCCATGTTGGCACCGCCATTTTGCCGGGGGTCGAAAGGGGAGAGCCGCATGCGTACCGCGCCGTCACGCAACCCTCTGTTCAAAACGTCGCAACTCCCTACCGTTTTACACGAAACCAGCGCTTGTGGCAAAGTGTTTAAAGTCTATTTGAATATGATTCAAAATGCGTCCGTTTGTAGGTCAGACGAAAACTTCCAATGTATCCACTGAAGCTTGCTGCGGATCACGAAGACTGATTTCAGTTTGATAGATTTAGGTTAGGGACTTTGATTACCTGATTTACGGGGAAGCACAGTGTTGCGGTTTCGGACGTAATTAAATTAAGCATGTAATTCAATTACCCCAGTAGTAAGTACTATCAACAGATTTATATAGGTACCGAATTGAAATGTACTAAGTGGGATGGATTATTAAAAATATGTTTTTAAAACACAGCTTTAAATTATTCGCAGGTAAAATTATAGAATAGTTTTGACTAACGAGCATTTGTTGTTATAATTTATAATATTTAACGCATATGGTTAAATTTTAACAAAACTGAAAATTGTCGTGTACTTTGTAATTGAAAGATATAAGAGATTCTTTATACTAACACCATTGAAACACCGCTAACAATGTTGGGGAGGACTTGGTTTTGCGTTACGCTAACGGAGCACGTGGCGCGTGAACTTGACCGGTGACGTCATCGTCCTTCGCTCCCTTCATCCAGCCACCTTCGTTCGTTCCTATCCGTCAGTTACAAATTCAAATAAATGTACTCTATTTCGTCATGTGTTTTGAGGCTACTCATTGTCATTTCCGTAAACACTGTCTCCACGCTGTTTTGTTTTTAAGTGGCGAAATCTGTGGGAATTACTAATACGGGTCAGGTCTTTGTGTACTCTGACTGTTCAAAGAATTCATTTTCTACGTTCCAGAAGTCTATTTAAAAAAATACGCTTTTTCTCTTTCCATCATCGGTCTTGGAAATTTTGTCAGCAAAATTATGTATGCTAACTTATTTCCAGACATAATTGAGTTGTCGACGCTTCGTTTACACTGAAATTTCGACATCAAGGCATTTGAAACATCTGACAAACTAGCAGAGAATAGCTGTCTATATGGACAAATTATATTTCACATGTTGTAACAATAAATTATGTTAAAATAGAATCTCGTACGCTCTGTCGAGTGCCGTCTCTCGTCTATAGTACAATGTGATGTATTATAGGCGGAAACCTAACATGGTAGAGTGTATTTCGTGTTGCCTCGCACAGAGAACAATGTTCGTTACCTTGGGATATAATGGCTCTGTCTCTGCCCACCATATTATTACGCTTGTGGCCAAAGATAATTACTGTGGGATTGCACGTAGATGCAATTACAGAACACGTCCGCGTCTGAATAACACGCTATATAACACATGACGTATATATACCTCTTGTTCGTCATGATTGTAGTATAAACGGTTAACACACCGTCTCAAGCTACACCAAGGTCTTGCTAAGGAAAATTGCGCATCTCCCCGAGATCCTTTTCGATACGACTAAAGAGAGAATTTATTAATAATATTTGTACGGTTAATACCGCACATTAAGTATGTTACCGCGTCAGCATTTTTAGGTTTTGTGTTTTTATGTTTAATTATAATTTCTACACATTTGCAATCAAGGCATTATCATAAGCAAACGCGTATTTTATTTTGTAATCAAGTAAACTAAATAAATACCATTTTTAAGATCAACAAGGATTCTTTATTTATCAACATTATAATCAAGATAGTTTGTGTAGCAAGAACAAGACGCGAACAATATTGTTATTGAAATTTTTATCTTATAGGAAAGTCAATAAGCTATTGAGGTTCACTCGTCAGGGAGACATATTTCTATTACATTTCGTAAATTGCTTTTCGGCTATTCGGCAATGTATCAATAAAATGTACGTTACAGTTAGTAATATTTCTCTTACCTTTAGGATAGGTAACCAAAAATCGTAAAAGAAACGAGCTATTTCGTAGCAAAGTAGTTTTTTTTAATTAGTTGTTTCACTGCCGGACAAAGGTCTCCCACAGGCCCATTATTTTCCAAAGTGGAACGGAAAAGAGCTTCCGTTATTTCAACATCTTCACGCTGCTTCGTCAAAATAACGAATTACTGTTGGTTGATGAAACACAGCTCTTGTCTTCCCCGCTTTGATTGATATTAGTGTGTTATTGTGGTGATATTGTGTGTATAATGTCTCTCCACTAATTCCTGTTTTGGCGTACGGGTCATGCCTAGGCCATAATGCTACCTTCTGTGGTGTCCATCTCCATGTGCTTTATAGCCACAATGATGACGGTGGCATTTGGCACCTCTACGATCTGTCTGTACCATAGACGTCGACGCGATAGCACCCATTTGATACATGTGGGGCACTCGATTTATATTAAATAGCAGTAGAGCTACTTGTGAAAGAGTTCGCCCAGGGGAGCACTGCCACCTTTTCTATTTCTGCCTCCAAGCGGTAATGTGAGCATGACTGTGTTTCCGTTTTGAAGGGTAAGGGTGCTGGTGAAATGTCACAGGCACATAGGACTTCAACTTATGTCTCAGGGTGACGCGCGCAGTGGCAGTGCCCCGCAGACCTTTGCGATTTAAAGCAATGAGCGTGACAGGCGTGTCGCTTACCACCAGGCGCACAGCATGACTTATTCGTCCTGTCAATTAGTGTCATAAAAAAAACACACATTGTGTTGCTTCTATGTAGATGAAGGACTATGAATTGGAAATAAAATAATGAAACTTGACAGAAGCACTTGAGCGTAAGTAATAAATAAGTGGCCAACATTTAAACATTGATTTGATAAATGTTAAAAATTTTAATTTCTTGTGTTCACGATATTTTACATCATACTGATCAACTTCTGATCAACTTATACTTTGATGTATTCACTGACATCTTCAACGTAATTTATATATAAAGCCTACTGCTGAGTGCAAGTCTCGTCGGAATAACTTAGTAAATTCTTTATTTACTCCACAATTTGAAACAATAGAAGGTGATATAATAGTAGCTTACACAGGATAATTTTTCAGGAGTTGCGCTTAAACTAGAATACCACTAGGCCTCCACCTCCAGTAGGGCTAGCAAAACAGGGCGCGATTTGCACGAGAGCGACATAAGCGCGAGATACTGCTGTTCTCGCATAGACATCTAGCGCTTTATGCCGCTCTCGCGCAAGTCGCGCCCTATCATGCTAGCCCTACAGAAACAACCTATATAAAATAGAGAAAAAATATCTTATAAAACTGTGGTGCTGTGTGTGAACATGTGGATGAGTGTGTATGTTATTTGGGTGAGTGCGTGAGTTTGAGTGAAATTTGCGTGCACGTGCAAAAGAGAGGATTTAGGTCATAGTCTGCCACGCCGGCCCAATATGAGTTGGAGACTTTACATGTTTTCCGCGTCTTCCAGGGTTGTGACCACAGTTTTAGAAACCATACGTTGCACAACGAATGTACTTGCTTACCCATTTTTTTTATAATACCAAGTGACGGGACGAACAAGTCGTGCGCTTGATGGTATGCGACACGTCTATCCACAACAGTTGCAGTGCCGCTCAGAGCTTCAAAGGCATTTGAGGGGCACTACCGCTGCGCCCGTCACCCTGAGAATGCCCTGAGACATAAATTGACAAGTCCCATGTGCCTGTAATTTCAGCAGCAGCGGCACCCTTGATGATGATTCGATAAATAAACATTTTACCTATATTTTTACACAATTTATGTATTCCCTAGGGCAGAATCATTTCAGGAAGAATTTACTAACAATTACCTACAAGGTAGGAACTGTGAATGTGAGTTTTGAAGTTTTATAATTTGATCGACTGCAAATTTGTGGTTCGACGAAAAAAGTTTTATTGATGTCAATTTCCGATACACATAATTTAAATCAACTACGTAATTTGTATATTATGATGCAGTATTATATACGACGGTCTTAATTGAGAGATCGATTGTGGGCGCAGTGGCATGGCCCTGGCCCCTCAGATCTATGAAGCACTGAGTGGTGCTGCAACTGTTATGGATAGGCGCGTCACTTACCACCAGGCGCAAGACACGCATAAATTCCGAGCAACTCAGAGGTGCGAGCCCGGTTTCGAACCTATGGCCTCTACCTAAGGGTAGGTCAACCATTACGCTACCACGACTTCATGTTGGCATACGTGCAACGCACATTAAGCACTTGTTCTGTATTATTACGGTTCTCTGTTGCTATGACGGGGACACCGCTTTCGTGCCCTTTTTTACACCGAGTTTTATATCAACAGACTTAATTTTAATCTGGAAACGCTCCAATAAATGCATGGGGCAGAAATAATGATTGGCTTCACCTCCTATTTTAAAATGGTTGCAATACTTCACATACTTTTGCGGGCACGGGCACAACAACAGACGGAAGTTTTATTAATTTTTTCAAAATGCAAGTCACATCAATACAAGTTCCATTACGCAACTTATCACGATGACACCCTGTACCTGTAGGGGTATGGCACTTACTCGCTACTTTCATATTTACATTATATATTACAAATAATTACATTACTAATAATTGTAACTTTTTGATTGAAAAAAAAACCTCAAAAGTTTGCTTATCGGCTTTTTTTGATTTTCATTGGATCCCCTCATCAGATTCTGACTTCTTGGTGACAACGGGACTGACTCCTTTGTACATTTTATATTTTCTTGTCTGGTTGTCATGGTGACAGTAATTTGTTGATTACATGTATTGCGTCAAGTGAAAAGTCGACATTTATATGCGGAATATAATTAGTAATTTGAATAGCCGAAACGAACCCGGAACCGCACCAGTGGCCACTTCGAGAGTAGTGTATACCCTTTCAAACAAAAGAAGAATTTTCAAAATCGGTGCACAATTGATGAAGAAATTGGTGAATACACGGACATGCCTGTAAAATTTGAGGATTTCCTTCGATTTTCATGGGATCTCCTCATCAGATTCTGACTTGGTAACAATGGGACCACCACGACAGTG